GACCTCATGCTGGACACGATGCGCCTCTGGGTTGGGGCAAGGCTTGCTGACAGGGGTTGGAGATGCACCGGATCTGACAAGCTCGGGGCCGAGACACTTGAAAATCAGCTCAGACCACCGGACTGGACTCCTCTGCCTCCCTATCTTGACTACCAACTCGTCTCCATCATCATGCACCGATATCTTTCCCCCCTCCGGAAGAAGGTGCTCGACAGGCTCCAAACGATTGTCAGGGCAAACAAGCCAAGCAACTGGTACGCAATATTTCTAACATGTTTCGTCTTGTTGCACAGCTGCGAGATGAGTATCGTGATTGTTCGGAAGCACGCGGCCAAGCGCAAATCTCCGGTAGGATTTTTTGAAAGCCATTCTGAGTCATGACCACGGTGCTGACGTATTACCTAGGATCGGTACATCATCATGAATCTTGTGCGAGCCCTGAACACGTCGGCTAAGGTTCTCCTCGCTCATTTTCACTATTGTTGCAAAGGCAATGTGCCATTTTCCAAAAGTTTCGATTGGTCGTCCCCTGTCATGAGGCGTATGGCGGCCTTGGATCCAGAGCAGTCCGCTTTCATGAGCAAATATGTGAGCGTGGTACACGAGCGAGGTATGTTTGCTTCGACTATTCTCGGGATGGCTAAGAAAACCTCCAAACTAATGCTATTTAGAGGATATCTTTGAAGCCGTTCGAAAGACAGACCATTATGAGGCACCGTATTGGTTTGTTTGCCAGCTTTTCGAGGAGAACTGGGAGCCGCGAGTCACGCACGAACATTCGCCCACAAGTGACGAAGCGTACATATCTGGTTCGGATCATGTCGTCACTGAGAAAGGCAAGACTGTTCAATTTGGTCCCTACCACCGGCCAGATATTGAAGAAGACATGTCCAAGCGGCCAAACCGAGGCGGCTGATGATGGATCAAAGCCAAACAAGACGTTCAAGTAAGCTGCCCCGAGTCGAAGCTCAGCCCCTATCATTTGAATAAGAAGAAAAAAGAGCGTTGGTGCTGACATTTTCAGTTTCACACCGCATCATATCGAAGATAGCAAAGAGATTCTCCAGTCGTCCACCTTATTGATCCCACTCGCCACCGAGGAGACGGGGAGTTCGGGGCTCCAAACACCTTCAAGCATAAGCATCCTCGGGTCTCCTGGCTCGCACCATCATGAAGTCAAACCTACGGTCCCAGCCTCTCGGCGAACGTGAACGCCAGGCGGGCCTTCGGCAACATATTCCATGTGCGTTTGACAGACTCGTCGAAAAGTCTACGATTCAACTCGGCGATCGGCGGTGGCAGTGTCTGTGCAAGTTCTGAGTTCTTCAACCACATGCGGATAAGGTGTCGGGTCTGTGTGGGGCTGTCTCGAAAACTCTCACGAGCGTGCAGCATGGAAAAGTTGTTCACAAAGGTGATATCGCCAATCTCTGCATGAAGTGCGATTTGCACAAGCCTGGCAGCAGCCTCGACGGCGTTGAGGGCTTCCATCTGCTCAAGAGATAGCGATGATTCCAGGAACAGGGGCTCGATGCCAGGAATGCCTTGGAGGGCTTGCCGGTTGAAGTTGAAGATGACACGGCCGTCATGTTCGAACAACAGAGGCCGGGCTTGACCCCATGCGAGACGTCCGCGACTGTCATAAAAGCATCAGCGCCTGTTGACACTATAGTGGTTGGTCATTGCTTGGTTCAGGAGATACTCACGTATCGAAGTGCCAAATCGGAGCCATCAAAGTGGCGATGACATCGGGACGAGTCTGGCAGAGGATGTTGTAGACGTCAAGAGACGAGGCAACGATGTGGTTGCCGCCTTCCTCGGCATGTCCGGAGGTGTGCATGGCCAAGATGTCGCAGGCTTCGTCGGTATGGAAGTGGGATGCCAGCGTCGAGTCTCTCACCGGCCTATCCTCTTGAGGCCCCAGGGCGTACTTGGCCTCGCGGATATGCGCTGCGAGGCAGTTGAGTCAGCGGCACTCAGTCACAATGAGCTCAGGTTGCATCTTACCGAACACATTTCCATACGCATCCTGGGCACCAATCTTGTTGGCCACGAAGCTTGCGATACCAAGGTACCGCAGGACGGTGTCCTCGGGAGTCAAACCACTCGGGTTGAGCCCGCGAATGGTGAAGAAGGGTTGGTTCGTGTGCAGACCCGCCGCCAAGGCGCGGAGTGTCTTGCCCAGGGTCGGGAGAGGGAAGACGAGCGGGGAGATCTGATGGCCGTCGAGACCAAGACCTTTGGAGCCGGGTCAGCATCATCAATGTTCACAAGTGAAGCAGTGGAGACGACACCTTTGAAGTGAAGCATTGCCATATCGACCTCTCGCTTCTCCTTCAGAGACAAGTGGTAGACATAACCCGCTTCGTTGGCGTCGTTGGCGACGGCTGGACCAGTCGGTGTCGCCGTTGGAGAAGTTTCTGCCGAGGTTTGCGCAGCCATGTTGAGGTGGCCCGGGTGTGTTGATTGGGACAGGTTCGATTCGATGGAGACAGGTTGCTCGGCTTGACCTTTGGGTGTAAGTGGACTTGTGTCGGCGGTATCTGGATGATAGGACAGAGACTGATGGCTGCCCCAGACTTTCCGACTGCCTCCCTAAATAATAAGCCTCACCCCGTCATTCCAAAGACCCTCTTTCTCAGAATAGGAGAGGGATAGGGGCAGAGAGCGGCAAGACTGCCTGCCGATTGTGCACACGAGCAGAGCCGCATGAGGAGTCTTCCATCCTTGGGGCACACCATCGGCAAGCGGTGCAACCGTTCTGAGAGGAGGGTGTCTCTGAAGGGCAATGCCGAAAGCCGCATTTCCTGCCTGCCCACACCAGGCCCAGCTCGGATTGGACGTTGGGGCGGGGTATATGCCGCATGGCTGATTGAGTGTGCAGCCATTCTGGATGATGAGATGGGAGGAGACGATGCCAATTGGGCCGACTTTGACTTTGTCTCGGCGGACCAGAGCCTTGTGATCATGGCCCAGCGAATGGTGTTGTTTGCTCGCGTATGACGGCCGATCAAGTACCATTTGAGCCTCATCTTTTTCGTTTGCGAGGGTATCGGGCCGTGGACGCGGATGATGTTGGCGTCATCTTCTCCCCCCCCCTCTGATATGGGTGAGGCCACCCATCAGGCCCCTTATCTCCCGTCACCATTTCCCACGCCCACCACCAAGAATACACGAAGCAAAGCAAGTACCTTGCTTCCAAAATGGACATCATGCCTTCAGTCATCAACACACTTCTTCTTCCGCTGGCCATCGCGGAGGGCCAGTCCAGTCACATACCTCCCTCGGGACCCCCACGGCCATCGACAACACAGGCCCCCGGACCGCAGCCTCAGCACCCGAGTCCGCCAATCACCCCAACGTGGACCGTTGACTGTGGAGACCCAGCCTACTTCCGCTTCTTCGCGATTCCGGACTTCGCACGGGGAAAGCCTCCGCTTCAGATCGTCGTCGTGGTTCCTTTGGACCAGATGGCAGTCGATCCCAGACTCGTGCAGTCTTTGCAGCTGAACAAACTCTTCTCCTCTTCCAAGCATGATCTGGCACGCCTTCCCATCACAAACTATCTCATACAGGCACTTTCCTTTTGGTCATCAAGACAGCCAGATTTTCAGGAGGTTTACCTGTCAATGCCATACGCATCTCAGATCGTCGTCGAGACTCTTCATCAAGATTGCCGCCAAACAAGAATACATCTGGACCCCAGTTACCACGTCGAGCGGCAGTGGCTTTCTGTCTTGGAGTTTGAAGGCCAGACTGATCTGGACTTGTCTTGCTTGGCAACACTGGTTGATTGGTCCGAGTTGGAGCTGGTCCAGCAGCTTCATGAATCCATCACGCTCGTGCGGGTGCCCTCCCGGATGGGGCCATCATCGTTGATGGTGTACAAGGCAGTTACCGAGGACCTTCAGTACATGTACCACGAGTTGCGTGTCATGCTGTCAATGGCATCCCACCCCTGCATCATCGGGAGCCCTAACTATGTCGTTGTCAAGCAGTGCCGGTTTGGAGGCAAGCTTGGCATCTGCGGCTTCCTCCTCGACTATCATCCCCATGGCAGCCTTCAGACAGCATTACAGTCAGGAGAGCCAATCACGCTTCGTCAGAAGCTGTACTGGGCTGAGAGTCTCCTACACGCCTTGGTCCATGTTCGGGACAATGGGCCGGGGTTTTACTCGGACTTGAAGCCGAATAATGTCTTGCTCGTGCCCGCCACCCCTAACTCTCGCGACGGCCTTACCGCCCCCCTGCTCATCGATTTCGAGCAACGGGGAAGCTGGTACGGGTGGTCTCCACCGGAAGTCCAGTACGTTGAGTTTCTCGACATGTTGGCCACCAAAGCATCCTCCGAGGCAACTCGCAACCGCTACAGCAAAGTCATGCAGGAGTGCTTTCCCGAACTGCGTGCAGTTCGGGCCAACGGCCCGCAGCGAACACTAAAGGAGGCACCCAACGGATTCAGCCTAGGATGGACAAGCCTGGATGTGGCTGGACGACAGCGCGCTCAGGTGTTTGGCGTGGGGAAGCTGCTGTGGTGCATCTTTGAGGAGCTGCCGTCGTGCAATAGCTTTCTCTCCATTGAGACATTTGCAGAGGGGATTGATCAGGAGCAAAGGTTCCCGGAGTTTCGGAAGACACCGGGGTATTTAAGGGAGTTGATCCGGCGGTGCACTGCGGGTGCCCCTGAGTGGGAGGAGGAGGGGTTTCCGATTGGGCGCCGAGGGGATAAGTTGGTTCCGTTGAAAGATCTTGGGGTGGATAGTGAAGACGTTGGAATCGAAGAGGGCCCGGATAGTGTTGGGAAGCTTGCAAGGGAGTGGTGGAAGGAGACAGTGCAGGATGCGGAAAATTACGCGAGGCGTCGTCGCGATGGAGGGGGAGGTACCCCGGTACTTCCAGCATTGGAAGACATCTTGGAGGTCTTGAAGAAGAGAGTCTAGTGTGGACAAAAAAAAAAAAATGAATTGGAGACTGTTCGCAGTCTTGTTGGGACAGTGTCACGATCCACCCAGGGGTCGAACCTGGAGCCTCCTGATAACTTCTCAAGTCTGGGCCTGAAGATCGTAGTCAGACGCTCTGCCATTGAGCCAGCGGACCTTGTACTTTGCTTGTTGAAATTGAGGGCGGGAAGGGGGTTCATGAATCAGGGTTGTTTTGGAGTCGGTGGAGCAGTGCAGAGTTGCAAATTTTGGTGATGGCAACAGCCTTGACTCGCGTGCTATCTTGCAACATAGTGCTTTTGAAGACAGGAAGAAGCAGATAAATCAGCAAACAATATCAATCTCAAATCCAATTTTCCTCTCCCCCCTGAAGCCCAAAACAAATCACTTCAAACTCTCCCCTCTGATCTAATTATTTCCAAACCCCGGCTCGGTAATCCCCCGAATCTTCACCAAGGTCCACCGCTGGTGCGAATCCCCACCCCTTGGCTCCATCTTGACCCTCTCCCCACTCTCATCCGACGACAAGAACAATTCCGAGCCCGAATACAAATTCGTCAACCTCCAGACATTTCCCCCCAGCGAAATCAACTGCCACTGCTGGCCCGTAGCATCGCCCGCCTTGGCCAGATGCGGACGCGTCTTGTCGCCGGCGTGGACGTCCAGGGCGCGGCCGGTGCCGAGCCAGAGCGTGACGAGGTTGAAGTAGCCCAGGTGGGTCTTGGACGGGCGCAGCTGCCAGTGCTGGCCGGAGAAGTCGCCGGTGTTGGCGATTTGGAGGTTGCCGTCGGTTTCTTGCTTGCCGTCGTTGATGACGTCGAGGGACTTGCGGGGCCACCCGAGGTTGACGAGGCGGTACCAGGTGTCTTTTTCGAGGGGGGTGACCGACATGTTGACGTTGGGGGAGGCAGTGAGGTAAGTGGTGTTGTTGTGTGGTGTTTGTGAATGTGAACTGAGGATGAGGATGAAATTGGATGTAGTTAAGTCTGGGAAGGGGGTGGGTTATATATATGTTGTTCTGGCCTCAAGTCCTCACAGTTCAACCTCGACCTCGTAATCTGCATCGTCAGCCAGCCGTATCCTGTGCATCCTTCAGCTGTGTCTCGGCCACTGCGCGCGGGGTTGTCGTCCCACAGCATTTGTGGTGTTCAGATCTTGTGTTGCATCACAGCGAGCCGGAGCGAAGAATAGCCAGTCGTTGTTGCGGCTCGCTGCACGATGTCAGCTGAGACTCAGCCTTCTGCGGGGTGTGCATCTCGGCGAGGACACTCAGTGGCACAGAGCTACCGATTTAGTTAGCCACAATGAGAGGGTCGTATTTCGTGCGGCTTTTGCCATTTTCTCCGGAGTTCAGATGGCCGCGGGAGGCTCAAAATGTCTCGGAGTGCGAGAACCTGAAGTGCCCCTTACCCCTGACCCCCAACAACAAATCGCCGTGATTGTGACTCTTTCCAACAACCATGTTTCCCTTTCGCCAAACTGACTTGGCAATCCCTCATGGTGGCATCCGAATGTCCCTATCTTTTTCTCATCTGGCTCGGTCCGCTTTTTTTATTGTCTGGATCGTTGAGAGCGGCCCTCCTGGGTGCTATGAGAATTTGGAACGATGAAAGAGGTCATTCTCGTCTCAACTGAACTGTGTCTGTGTCGGGGGAAGGTGCGAGGTCTGATGCACGAGCGAATCGGGGAATTGAGGCAGCAGCAAACCCCCTTTTTTACCCCGCTCGGCATTCACCGCACATTGGTCTCTGCACAACCCACCTCTTTCCTCCCACGACATTCAGCCACCATGCGACTGATTGATGCGAAAAGCTCCCCGCTGCGCGTAGTTGAGTTTGTGGAGGCTGAAGTTCCTCCCTATGTGATTTTGTCTCATTGTTGGGGCCCCGAGGAAGTCAGTCTCGGCGACTTGACTACTCCAAACTACGATGCAGCGACCAAGAAGGGGGGCTTCGCAAAAATCGAGTCCTGCATCAGACAAGCCGACGCTGACGGCTACGGCTATGTCTGGATCGACACATGCTGCATCGATAAAACCAGCAGCGCAGAGCTGTCTGAGGCGATCAACTCCATGTACAAATGGTATCAAAATGCCGACATCTGCTACGCCTACCTCGCAGACATCCCCACAAAACGGGATGTCATGTCCGTCTCCTCCCAGCCTGACAACGTCGAGTTCGACTCCCATGGCTGTTTCTCAAGTAGCAGGTGGTTTACGCGGGGCTGGACCCTTCAGGAGCTCATCGCCCCTCCACTGGTCGATTTCTTCTCGGCCGACTGGGCGCATCTGGGCACAAAAACCACCTTCCTCTCGCACATCTCGGCCATCACAGGCATCCCCGATCGCGTTCTCAGCGGAACGAAGTACCTCTCGCAATGCAGCGCTGCCGAGCGCATGTCGTGGGCGGCGTCGAGGACGACAACGCGACCCGAGGACGCCGCCTATTGCCTGATGGGCCTCTTCGACATCCACATGCCGCTGATCTACGGCGAGGGCGGCGGGAAGGCCTTTTTTCGACTTCAATCCGAGATTCTCAGCACCTCTTCGGCTGACTTTTCCCTCCTCGCCTGGGACCTGTGGTCGGCGATGGGTCGCTCGAACATCTATGAGGTCTCTGGGAACGACGGCGACAGCGATGTAGAGACAGACGAGAGCATTTTCGATATCGGTCCTTGGATTTTCTTCTCATCCCAGCCCCTCGCCGACTCACCCGCCGAGTTCAGCAACAGAACCTCAGACGGCACCAAGATGGCATACTCGGATATCAAGGTGGACTCAGATCTGCTGGAGATGGTTGAAAACCCGCTCGCTCTGACGGCATCGGCTACCGCCACGGCACGGGGAGTCGAAGTCCTCCTCCCGATGAGAGAGATGGACAACGACTACGAGACAGGCCATCGTTTCGTCTTCACAGGCTGCACTCTATACGGCGATCTCCTCTGCATCGGCCGGCACCGCGAATCCAAGCGCATCCGGGGCATCTACGCCGGCTCCAAAGGCTCTTCTTTTACGGCTTGGCTTCTCCCCCTCAAAACCATCCACTCCTTCGAAATGAAATCCGCCTTCTTCCAACGCCTAAAGCCCATCCAGGACGCCCCCATCCCACGCGTTCCGCCCCTACGCAACTTCAGCAAACAGAACGATACGTGCCTCATCCCGCTGGATGTCAAAGATCTAAACCACTGCGCGGAGTGGAGGGCATCCCATCTCCCAGAAAACGGGCAGATCGCAATACAATGGAAAGCTGCCAGGCCAGGAAAGTACCACTGGGAGAGCAGGTACAAGTACACGGCCTACGCGCTGCCGTGCGTAACGGATTTCGGTGACGTGTTTTGTCTCTTTCTCAATGAGAATGGGGTGGCCATCTGGCCGTCGTCTGCAAGAGAGCTTGAGTTGGATCCGGAGGAATCTATCGAGACACTGGCCCCGGCTGTTGTGGCCAAGGGGAGGGAGCTCAATGAGAGTTCTGAGATATGGGGGGAGACATGTCCTGCTATTGAGAAAGATGTGGATGTTATTCGCTTTGAGCGTTGTGCGGTGTCTGCCACGTATAAGCAGGCGAGGGGAGGGGCGAGGGTGGTTTTGTGTTCCTGGGTCATATGAGCCGGTGATGGGAAAGCCAAGGGGGGGCTCAGATAGTAGCCAGACGTACACAGCGAAGGGAGTCACTGGATAATTGGATCCGAGGCTTAAGACCTGCAGCTCCCTCTCAAGCTTTGTGCATTTTCTATCGAATTTGTTCATACCATTATAGACGAGAACTATCGGGAAGAGCCGCAGGGCGGCGCTTGAGATTTGGGTCGGAGGGCTGCAACCGAAAATTTGAATCTGGCCCAGCTCCAACCAAAGGTGAAGCGGGTACTTGTATACAAGGTATCTTGATCGTAACCATGCACCGATCAACAGTGTTCAAGAGTGTCCAGAATGTCTTGTTGCAATATCCCCAGATTGTCAGCACTCAACAACCCGCTGAAACAACGACTCAGGCCACGGTGCAGCTGATTTACCGTGCTGTTAGACAGCGTTGGAGTACGGTACTCCATCCGTAGTTTGAACTGTCCTTCTTCGGTCACGGTGTATTCGAACATGAGCCTAAATTTGGAGCCAGTGGGAGGGGCGGCTGGGCCGACCCCGGCGATATCGAGGCCGATAGGATCAGCGCGGAAATCATGGAGGCTGACCACCGTGTCAAGACAGCGCTATCCTGCTGGGACGATGTAATGCCGAGGTGTGATAAAATCTGGTGGAACGGCACCGCGTGTGTGAGGATGTCGTTGAGAGATGATTTGACCTTCGCCAGGAGAGTCGGAAGCTTGGTATCGTTAGGCTGATTTCGAAAGTCGAGACGAAGAGAGAGCGGTTGGAGGAAAAGCCCACGGTGTTTGCCTCGTTCTCCGTGGGGCGGTTGATGAGAGGCGTGCCAAGTACGGTGTCTGATGTTTGGGTGAGCGTTTGCAGGGTGAGTGTTGTTGCCAGGAGGAGGGCTTGATATAAGGATCGGAGTGAATGGTGTGGAAGTCAGTGAGGTTTGTTAGGGTGGAAGTTGGGAAGCGAAAATTTTGAGAGGTGTCTGTGAAGTCCGAGCCCGTCGATGAGATACTTGGCTGCGGTGAGGCTTCAAGATATCGCGACCAGAACTCTAGATCCTCTAGCCGTGGGGTAGAAAACCAAGAAGACGTCTCGGCGTATGGAACGCTTGGAGATGCTAGATGCAGAGGCTGCTGCGGTGGTGTTTGTCCCCTTCGGTGTCGGTACTCGGCGGAGACTTCTTTCAACAGGACTCGGAGAGCAGCCAGGTCGCATATGATGTGCGAAATAACAACAAGAAGTCTGGAAGGGGAGATGGAGACGGGATGAGGTCCTCTGCCGCCAGGTTAAAGGGGACACCGGCTTCTTTGTCAACGTCTATGCTGCTGACGAGACGTGGTTGAGGTGGTGTTGGATGGATTGTGCGGAACGGCCAGCCATGATTGTCCGCGACAAACCGGCTGGACATGATTGTGTGCCGGGTGATCACGCTTGACCATGACTCGGCCAGAGTAGAACCATCGATGATTTCCGCAAGGGAACTGGAAAATACCACGCTAAATGCTGCGGCACCGGCTGGCGAGGCAGTTTGATACCGTAACCACCACCCGTGCTCAACTGGAGATAGC